TAAAATATTTGAGCATGAGATGAATGATATGTTTTCCAGAATCTAAATCACAGGAAACCTTGTCCATGTGGTTAATTATATCTTAAGGATAAATTTTTCTGGTTATGTCTTCCATTTCGGAGAAAATGTGCATTGTGAGAGCAACTTACAATTATTTGTCTAATATAAAGATTGGTAGGAAGAAAGATCTTCCCCAGAATCAAATAATCCATCATACACACACTTTGGAATGTTTTTTTTAGAAATTATGTCGCAGCGAGACAAGATGTGCAAATGGGCACAGGAACACAGTGTGAACTCACAAGAGAAAGGTAAATACCTGCAGTGACACAAACTTACCTGCATTAGTAGATTTGGATACATTTCCTTCGTCATCACTACCACCTCGTCCACTATCATTAGTTGATGTATCTGCTGAAGTATGACTACCAGTTTCTTCTTGATGCTTACCGGGTAATGGAACTCGATCTGGTCGAATCTGAATAGGTACCTAAAATGCCAAGAAATTAATGAAATGAAAATTTAATTGAGACAGACATACAGACCGCAAACTATTGAGCATAACGCTGGTATTAGCTAACACTCTTTCGATTTCCACCTGTCCATATCCAACGTATACAGTCTGTGGCTCATTTAATTTGCTTTTTTGTCACCCTCCGAAAGACTAGTCTCTGTTTGCATTTTTTAACAAAAGGGATTTTGTGATTAGAAGGGTTTCTGAGGAGGAGACTTTTAATCTTCATATGAATAGTTGACAGTGCTCCTTCCATATAGCGGATTTAAGGGACACAAATATCCATTTCGAATTTCATTCCTTTCACTAAGAAAACGTCGAAACCTGTGAAAAAAGGGACGTTCAAACGAAATCTCGAAATGACGGCGACATGCAAAACAAGGGCATGGTGAAATGAGATAATCGTGTTTCAGATAAGCTGGTAGACAAAACTTACCTTAGTTGATACACCATAGGACTTTAATAAAGCTTCGTGTTTCTTTAAGGCTTCTGTTATCTCCCCGGATACCCTTTTTCTGTTCTGAAAGTGTACAATTTAATCTGTTACTATAAATCATATAAGATTTTCTACTACACATTAGCATATAACGGAGTTGAAATTTAAAAGGGTTTGAACTTGGGAATTCGAAAGGTCGAATTCTTCTGAGTTTGTTATTTCAGAATTATTGATAAACAAACTGTTAGAAACTTGACCTTTGCGCATTTTGACTGATTTATATACTTTCACCTCCGACACACGAGATATATCTGATTAAGATCATCGTAGTTCCGTGTTAGTAATCTTTTATGACTAATAATTACATTTACACGGAAATCAAGAGTGATTCAGTCCCTAATCCCTAATGATAACGATCTTCATTGGTCATTTTGTGGTCAATAAAACTGTGATGACCATTAATTACGATTTCGGACTTATTTTGTTCTATTTTGATTGCATTATTAGTTGTTATTTGTAAACGAAGATTATGTCCCATTGACGTACTAAGCCGTACTAAAAACAAGCCGTGAGGCAACAATCGACTCGAATAAAAATAAATAACGTAACTGAACAAGGAAAAGATAACAATGATATGAAGTCATTGGCCACCAGGTGTCATTGTAATACATTTACAAACCATTAAATTCAAATCACAAATAACTTTCACAGTTAAATACAATTATTTATAAAGTACTGATTGGTGCATTGAAAATGTTAACTCTATTCTTTTAACGTATATAAAGACTTAATCCTAAATCAGTATCGGGCATGCGTATATTATTTTGAAGATTTGATAATGGAAATGTAAAAAGTTAATGTAATTATATTTCAGAATGGTCATAAATGTACAACAACTTTCCAGCTTTCATTAGTGATAACCTTTGTAACAGCTCAGTATCATTTCCTATTGCCTCTGATGGACAGTCTAGTGATGTAGCGACTAAGACGCTTACTCGCCATCATCGCGGTCAAGATTACAACTTGGGATTTCTCCAATGGCACAGGCCTCAGGGCCTGATATCAAGTGGTAGCTAAGAAAATGGAAGATGCTGCCAAACAAAATTTCATCAATGCACAAAGAATTACATTGCTCGACTTCGTATACCCCAACTGTAGACCAAAGGACTTTCTCTTAACTGTTTGTGATTTACATCACTGATGGTTATAGCATAGTGATATTTTCTGTGTAAATTGTGTTCTAAATTGCATAAGTAACATTCCGTGAAGGACAAAGAAAAATCTTTTTAAATATATATCTACAAACGTTATCGACGTTACTTCAAACTGTTACAATCGCGTTAAATGTTTCCTTTGTTATTTCTTAATTTCATCACCCATCTTTTCATCACCTATAGAATTTTGGCAGATCATTATATACTTGTTTGTTCAACCTTTTTATTTAGAGAATAGACATAAAATATATCTCATTTTGTTGAAAGATCTTGTAATGTCCCGTAACGAAGAAATGGTGAAGAAAACCCAAATAATTCGCGAGGAATTCACTAAATTTTCAACAATGAATGCACGTGTGATATAATTGTTGCATTGTAAGCACATATTTGGTAAAAGACATGCCATGACTGGAATACAGTGAAGTGAGTGAACTATTCCTGCCAAAAATACAGAGTAAGCAACTACAGCCTGAATCAAGTTTTAATTTAATTGGGTATTATTGCTGTTTCTAACTTTGCTTTCAACTTTCTTAAATACGTTACCTCATAGCGTACGTACAGTACATGTTAACTACTTTATCCCATAGTTTTTTCTTTTGTTATTTTGGTTCGATACCAGCAAAGCTGATTCGAATTCTGAACAGTGAGTCAGTGTGATGGATAAGTCGTAGCGAATACCAAATTATAAAACTTCTTCAATAGCGGACATATTTTAAAACAGAAAATTGGAGAGTGCAGACCCAAAATTCCAGTCGTAATCTATACCTCTTTTATACATAGTTTATTGGATGTTGTGAAGCAGAATAATGTCTTAATAAAGAAAAGGATTTGTTTGTAAAGCTACTTAAAATTAACCCAAGGGTATTTTTGGTAATTAGATATTTTGGCTTACTCGTGTGGTAAATTTGACCAAAGAGGCAAAACACTGAAGGACGAAATGCATCCAACCGTTCGAAACGATTAAAAGCCCTAAAAGCTATTCTATTCATTTGAAGGATACAAATGTATGTTTCAAGTGCTTAGCTGAAAATCGACCCATAGCGAAGGTCACACTTGTTTTCCTAAAAACCTAACTGCAAGTACATCTTTAATGATAGAGAACGCGATTGTTTAGTGGCCCTAACTACAGGGTACACTAACTAAATTGTCATCTCACGCTCGAATTTTTAAGGGTAGAAATCATGGTGTGATCGAAGGTGAATATTTTCAATGATATTGCATTATTAACGACACATTTTCGTGCCTTGATTGACCCCTAGTTGATCTTGCTATCAGATTTATCAATAAAAATATGAAGTCTCTTATTCAGGACATTTTAATGGAAACAATTTTGTTACCCCTTGAACTAGCTTGTATATTACTACTTTGGTTGAGGTGTGAACGTACATGGAAAACGAATGCTTACTATTGGAGTTTATTGGTTTATTGTTACAAAACATCTGATTTGTGTAAATCTGAATGCTAAATAGCCAAGAAGACTTCGTGAAATTGTCCATTTAAGGTCATTTGTCATACTTTATTAACGTTTGTGATCAAGACCTATTCACGATTTTTCAATACGAAGTTTGAAGCCAAAAAGCAGGAATGAATCTCAAAATACTATTATTAGAATTCCTGATTACAATTATCCATAAAAAATATGATTAGGTTGCCTCAAGGAAGGCACAAAATGACAATCACTGTGGATAAAGGAGGAGTAAATTGGATTTTGATGGTAGGCGGAACGACAAATGTTATAATATCAGAAAGCTTGCCACCGACAGATGGCTACCAAAACAACCGGAACAAGTATATTTACGTTACGGGCAGGAGAGTGCAAAGAAATTTATAATATGCTATCGCGTCTTTCAGGACTGGTCAAAACACCCTGTGAGCGAGCACCGTGAAATAAAAGGCTATATTAAAAAATAGAAAGGAAAAGCCAAACAGACCTCGGGCGGTTATCGTTTCCGCACAAAGAAGTACTCTCAAGTCATTATGAGTACGATCAACTTTCGTGTACTATAGACTCAAGACTATTCCAAACTTAAAATAAAATGATGTTTTCCTTGCATTACGGCTTGTTTGTATTTACTTTACTAATATAAGAAAATGCAAATATATGATTCTGTGTATACGAACGTCACAAGTTGTCCGTCACTATTTTACACATTACCTTCATGTTTCTTTATTGTGTTTGCTCCTTTAATGTATTCTTGTGCCTCTCAATTGAATGTTATTAAACTAAACAGTCTAGCTCTACACCGATGGAAAGATGCGCTGCTTTGGGCGTCTATTAAGTTTTCAACAATAAAGGTTTTGTGTAAATATGCTATCTTGAGGCCACAATATTTAATAATTCTGAAGGAAGTTGTCTTGAAACTGGTCACGCTTTCTCAACCATGTAAATTTGCGACACTTCAAGCAAGCCATTATATCAGAGCCACAATATTGCATTTCTACAATTTTCTGCCAATCGATTGTCAAAATTTAAAAACCTTACCTTTTCAATGGATTGACCATTTGAGACATCAGACAAAGATACTAAATCATCTGTGAAAGATAGTGTGTTGTTTAGTTTATCCCAGCTATGGTTCTTTTGATTGACTTCCGTGGGATCGTCGAATTCTGTGATAGTAAAATCGGGCTTGAGGTTCGACGTTTCCATGTGACTAACACCATTAGCTTTCATGAATTTCTGATTAGTTCTGTCCGACCTCCGGATGATGAAAATAATCAGGATGACAAGAATGAAAATAATTCCAGTAACACTTCCAAGTATCAAGACAATCATCACATTATCGTCAGAACCAGTACCAATACGTTCTAGGTATGCGTTCGTTTCGTTTGTTTGATAAACTGTTATGTTGAAGTTCACAGACGAATTTAAGGATGGCCGGCCGAGATCTTGAACAATAACTTCAAGTTCAAATATTCCTATATCGTTTGGAGTGAGAAATCTAGATAAGCGAATGACGCCTGATTTGGATTCAATTTTAAACATACCGTGTCCATCTTCGGGAAAAAGTATAAATTCTAAATAAGCATTTGCGCCTTCGTCTTTGTCTTTAGCAATAACTGTGAACAAAGCATAATTAGTGTGCATGTGAAACGGTACTGACAAAGAATGATTTGTGGAGCTTGGTGAAACGAATTCTGGTGCATGGTCGTTTTGGTCGTTCACTTCAACAATTACTTCTACGGAAGACGATAGTGACGGTGTTCCACGATCAGAGGCAATAACAGAAAATTCGTACCGAGATTTTATTTCACGATCCAGTGGAAATGTTGTTCGTATTGTACCTTCAGATGTTACTTTAATTGGGTAGTATTCTAATTCTTCAAATTTTAGCTGAATACTGTATAGTATTTCACCGTTTAAACCTTCGTCGTCGTCATCTGCATTGATTCGACCAATTATTGTTCCAGAGAGTCGATTTTCGTCCGTTCTGAATAAATATCTCGGTTTCTGAAATTTAGGTCTAACGTCATTAACGTCCATTACAAAGATTGTGACTGTACAAGACGCATTTTGTACAGGGTATCCATTATCTTTAGCGATGACTTGAAACGTAATTTGAGATGTATTCTCTCTATCAAAAACACGATCTGAAATAATTTGTCCATGTTCGTCAATTTTTATGCCATGTTCGTCACTTTTCGGTATGATGTACGTTATACGAGAATTTTCGCCAATGTCTTTGTCAAAGGCAGATACCTTAAGTATCAACTGGCCTGGGCTTGTGTTTTCACTTATGTTCCCTGTATACTTCATTTGTCGGAAGATCGGTGCGTGGTCGTTTTCATCTCGTATTTTAATTTGGAATGAAATGGTGTCATTAAGTTGGGGTTTCCCTGCATCTTTACAAGTTAAAACTATCTTGTGTGTAGCTTTCCTTTCTCTATCAAGCTTTCTGGCCACAATTACTCTATATTCGTTTAGTCCCAAACCCTGGATATCAAAGGAATCGCCAAAAAGAGAGCAACGAACTAACCCATTCTGATCAGAATCTGGATCTAACACTGCAACATGACCAACAGTCAGTCCAGGCGAAGCATTTTCAGAAACTTCAGCATTTTCAAAAAGATTTAAGTTGATCGATGGTGGATTGTTAGTTGAATCTTCAACGTTGATAGTTACTTGAGCTTGCGCAACTAAAGGAGGTGATCCTCCATCCAAACATTCCACAATAAATTGCATAGTTTGTCCCTGAATAGGGTGTAGAGATTTTGAGACGGTAATCTTCCCTGAGGATTTATCCAAGTGAAAATACTTTTTGACGTCCCGTGGCACAAGAGGGCTGAAACGATATTGAGAAACATTATTGATACCAGAGTCGCGATCAGTTGCCTTAACTTGAGTTACACTCGTATTAATAGGAGCACTCTCATTCACAGTTGTGTTATATTTCTGTGCAGCAAACACTGGAGGGTTGTCGTTTACATCAACTACGGAAATGTTCACAGAAAGAGCACCTGTATTTGGTGGATTAGCACCATCTTTGGCAACAATCACGATTTCATAGAAATGTCGCTCTTCGTGATCTAAAGGACGGAGCACAACAAGACTTACAACTGTTCCACCGTCCAGGGTTTTAGTTACGCGTATGCCAAAATTATCAGTATCAGACACCAGATTATATCCCTGAAGCGAATTTTCTCCGACATCACGATCCAAGGCACTTTCTAAGATAAAGGACGAGTTGACAGAAACTGCTTCTGAAATTTTGAGTGTTATTGAATCGCTGCTGAATGTCGGCGAATGGTCATTTATATCTTGTAAAATAACTGTTAACTTTTCTTTCCTAAAAAATTGGTTCACTGTTGATTGAATTGCTATTTCGGCTTCTAAGATGCATGTGTCCATAAATCCGCAAAGATCTTCTCTATCCAACTGTTTTGATGTGTAGAGGAGACCGTCTTTTGTCAAGTTAAAGAACGCGCTGTGTGGATAACCTTGAGTTAAAAAGCTATAACGGAGCGATTCTGTGGCATTGTCTGTCAAAACAAGTGGAAGATCAACATTATCAGAGATCTTGCCGATAAAAAATCCTTTTGGTTTTTCCTCCAAGAGTGTATACTGTAGATCTCCTTTGACTGCCACGCAGAATGTTAAGGTCAGACATAAGAAAAAAAACTGTTTCATCTTCTTTGTTTTTCTTCCACGGTATTCTTACACGACCATCTCTGAAATTATAAATAAGAATTTATTAAAGCTATTCTCACTCGTTACATTGGAATTAGTTCTTGCTGAGCAAACCTACACACCTTGTGAGTTAATGCTATAACAAAATATTAAACTTTTTGAGTTGTTGATTCACGAACATGAAATCTGGTGAATTTTAATTTGGATATCCGGATATCTGATTGTGTGCCCATTTAAGGGTTTCTTAACCTATAATGCTTACACTGGTTGTTTACTTACTAAGCATGCGTACCATAGTAAACTGGGGTAATTTGACTGAAGCTTTATTTCAAAGTCATTATTTCAGATAATATGAAGATTACACGAAAATGACCCCGAGACTTGCAACCCAATCCCTTTAAAGTAATGAGATATGGTGATTTAGATATCAAAATGACTAGTGTCCACTTCACACTAGGGTAATGGTAATTGTATAGGCCTTAATAAACTAATGATATTAATTAAGGACAGTGGTGATTACGAGCATTGAAACTGCTTATTAGTAAGACTTATCACGTGCAACTATAATTTACTAGTTTAGTCAGCCGAAAGAATTGAGGTGTCAAAAGTAGAAATTTGTGAATATAAACTGAGTATGTAAGTGATGAAAATTTATTAGTGGAAATTGCCTTCTCTTTTAAAGTTTAGATTTTTAAATTTCCGTTTGATGACAATTATCAATATCAATTCACATTCTCTCTTGTATTAAGGCATTTCTGGATTTTTACCAAGAGCTTTTTAACTATCACCAGAAAGCATGTTCGTCATCACTCCCTCAAACCGGAAGTAAACCGATGGAGGTCCCTCAATATTGTATACACTAGCAGTTCCCGTGTGACCTTTTAATATAATATATGATTGTTTACTTTCGCTTTATTTCACGTTTATTTTATATAGTAGAGTTTATTTTACACCAAAGAATTGATAGCATCCACATGATCGGAAGATAAATAGCTTGTTTTTAATACATATTATTTACATGTGAATCAATATGGCATCCACAATACAATATGGCCGCTAATCAAATCGATGATATGTTACCATAACCGGTGAATATTATGGTGAAATGAAAACATGAAGGCTCTGTTTAACTTTTGATATTCAAGCATAGAATCTGGTTTCATATTAAATTTTCGTTTCACAACAACCATTATTGTTGTTGGTGTCGCTATCTAGGCAAGAATTACCCCTTCTATCGGAACACCTGATATCATTCTGATATTAGCCTTTTATTATCGAAATCCTCGAGGCTTACAAAGATTATTTTTATAACACCGCTCCAAATTTCTGTTGTTCCATGTGAATTTAGAGCATATCTTTTAAAGCAATTTTTCTGTCAAAACTTAAGTGCGACGCTCTCTAGGACGATTGTCAGGATTCAAGATGCTGAAGTGTCTATATTGATTATACAGATAGACCATATCAAACATTTTATGATCTGATAATTATTAAATGTGAGATAAGGTAAATAATAATTATGATTTAATTATAACTGTTATAGTCTGACTTCTGTCCCAAGGCTATGGAAGCTGTTAATTGTCCTGTAATTACAGCTAATTATAGTGGGGATGGAAGGACCTGAGAAATAGATGACGTAACCCAATTGCAGACTAGGTCTCCATCATGAAAATGTCGAAACACTCGTTTATGAGCATCAACACTTGATGTAAGTTTTATATCATAATATCATACTTGAGCATTTCATCCACTGCAAGAATATAGCCCTCAACATATGATAACTTGAAGAGGTTCCAAACTTGTTTCAAGGAGTATCTGAGACATTTTTATCTCTTTGTGTCGAGCTGACATTTGATACGCAAAGAATTGGCATTAAAATCAGGCCAAGGTAACAAAAAGGACATCTGATGCCATAAGAACAGCAGTGATCTCGAAAGAAAATCGATATCTTATTATTCAAATCGAAATCCTCAAATCTACAAAATCAATGAATGAGTCAAATAACCATCATGCATCATTCAAGATGGAAATGCACCCTCAAGATAGGCCACAAAATTATCAACACAATTTAAGACGCGAGGCTAGGTCAAACTCTGGAGAACATTGTACCAACATAAATTGAGGTGAAAATACGTCTAGTAGAATGAATTATTTTCAAATCAACATAACCTTAAAAAAGCAACCAAAATGGCGCTATTTACTAAAAAGAATCACACTAAAAAAAATTTTCAAAGTGATAAAAATGTAGTATATTTTCATTTCGCTGCATTTTAAGTAATTCTCCACAACAAATCTGGCCATTCGAAGAGCATACACATTTGACAAAGTAGAAACTAAATTTTAGATTTAAACCAAACGAGTGCTCATATTTTTTAAAAGAGTTAGTCGATTTCTGAGACTGATTTATTCAAAGATGCGTTCAATTTATTCCAGTAATATGACACCTTCGTGTGTTTGTCCACTTTTCGTTGATCAATGACTGGCAGTAAACTTAAGAGAGACATCATTGACATTAGTTCTTTCTGGCCAATATTAACCTAGAATAGCTCGACATGTCTTTTGTGTGCTTAGTTCTTATTAATAAATGTGTACATAAACTGGAGTACTTTTGGTTAATTTGTGAGGGAAATGATACATTTTCTTTGTTTGCGTTCTAGAGGAGATATTGTTTGAAAAGAAATGTCATCGAAATGGTATTAATAGAACTATGTAAACGAAGACTATAATAAATTGAAGTACGCAGGTACAAGAAAGTTCACACATTTTCTTGCCCTGTCGTTTCTTATAATCTATTGACTATATCATATGAAATGATATAGAGGGGTCAGCTGGAAATACAAACTTGTCATCTGTATGTCCAAGAGTTCTGAATGCCATGCTGGTCTTCCAATGTTAATATTTGACAATCAAGGGTATCTGAATCTCATTTATGCCTTTTTCAATGTGTATGTCTTAACAAATGGTCCCTCGGCATGGAATGTTATTTCAAATGTAATGAAGATAAGAAAACTGTCATCATTATTTTCTTATAAAAGATAAGGTCGCAGTCTCCATCAAAAGGTTATCTGTAAAATGCCACTTGGAACAAATGATAACGAGATAGTTTTTCAAATCCTGAAAAAAAGAACGATAAGGTTCCTGAAAGTCTGAGACTAAATTAACTTACCAAAAATAACCAATCTTGAGTCAAATTTCTTGTGTTTTCCTAATTTCAAACAACTAATTGAGAATATTTCTTATTTCACACGTTGGTTCTTACTTTCGCACATTTATTCCAAAGTTTTCAGTGCTTTAAACAAATGTAACATAATAGAGGAATTCATCTCTGACGGTATTTAGATTTCATATCATAATAAATTTGGCTCCACCCTTTTGGGGCGCAATAACCAATGAAATTACTGATAATCATTTGGCGTGAAGCCGCCATTATGATTGACATTATAATCAGTGGTGATTGAAAGGGTTTTGAATAGGATATATTTAGTTTATGTAGTAAGTACTACAGGTGTCAATTTCTCTGATTTTACTTTGTTCAAAGTGTTAAGGGGCTGGTTTCATGTCGCTGATTAACCATTAGGGGAAAGTGATAAACATTTGATTTGTAAATGGGCAATAATTGCTATTTGCCACGTTGCCATTGTGTGCAAAGTTTTTTCAACAATTCTATTGATTTTAACTATTTAGATTTCCCTTTTTAGATATTTATATAAAATCCTACCGCCTCTATTGTCTGTAAACCTAAGACAAATTAACATTAATTGGCAGCACTTATATCTTCGCAAATTCTTATCACTATTATTATACATAGTATAATGAATAATAATTGGCAAGGTGATAAACTGTTTCGATTTCAGCTGTTTAGAGACGAACGAATTCAAAACCACGTTAGACCTAATCAATTTCAAATTTCAACCCCAACATAATAGTATAATTATACTACAGTAATAGTATAATGTTAACACTTTTGTGTTTTGCAAAGTTCAAAATTGTCATTTTGAAGAAAAAAGCCTCTTCTCCGTTCGAGTGAAGAAGAAATGAGGGTCCATTGCAATAGGAACTATAAAATACACTTATTATGAAACCGATTATTAGCTTTAAATTAATACTGATTGAAATAGACTTTGCGTTAAATATTTTTTGCCTATAAAGCAATAATTTAACATAAGCACACACCAATCATTAATCGATTATTATTTGAATATTGCTTTCTGTAAAATTAATTTTTAAATGATAATATCAACCTTCGGTGGTATCTGTAATGTTAAATTGTCAATGTTGATTGTCAATACCATTCTTCAGCCAATATTCAAATTCATGAACAAAAATCTCCAAATTTCTGTATGCCAGCAACAATGTGAAAACCCTAGTTATTCATTGAAGTCTAATGATTGTTATGGTGGGTTCAAGTCCTCACCAAAAGTGTTAGTATTTGCTCTTAATATTTTTTTTATTATTCATTTTCTATACAATGGATGGTCATGCTATCCTCAATCTGTCCTTGGTCCTCATATTCCATTTTTGGAGCGGTCGATTCAACCAATATATGCATATTGGTTAGATCTACTTTCTTTAGAAATGTGTAAAACAATCCCATTCTTTGATCGGAATGACCGAGTCATTTATCACTCCCTATGGCACGAAGCGGCAGACCTGTCTGTGTACAGCCAAACGTTGACCTAACAATATCTTCAAAACCATCAGCAAAGTCATTAACAAGATAATTAACGCGTTAAATTCCTATATCACAATATCTTAATGAATCCACTAATTACTCGGGGTAATCTCCCCTTGTCAGTTATACCCAATATATCAATCTTAGACACAACTAAAAAATCATTTGTCACACTATTATAATAATAAATACTTGATGAAGAACTTGACAGTTCTATAACGACTGTCGATTCGTGGAACTTCTTGAAGGTCAACTAGCGCTTCAT